CCTGAGACCCTGCCAAAGGATGAACCCCCTGCTGTATATCGCAGCCCGACACCCAGGAACACCTCTCAGCCACGATAAGGCGGTAGACCGTTGGCCGGATTGCAACTCTATTATAAGAGATTTATAATAAATAAACAAAAATGCATTTATATGTATGAATATGATTACCTATATTTAAGAGAATCCTTCAACCTTATTACCTGGTCGGTAGTATATGATTAAGAATTCTTTAAATTCTATGGAAGTTAAAATGCCTTCAGCTATCACTAAAACTCTTTCTACAATTTCCTGAGGAGTATACACAACCCGTCATCTACTGTGCGGATCCCAGCACTTCTCGCATTCTTTTCATTTCCTCGCATTCATCATCCACGAATATCTTCCACGTATTACGCGCGGCTTCGTCTCTTGCTTGAGAATTTTCCTTTCATCTTGAATGTCGTAGACAACTGGTCCTTTCACTGGAGTCCTGAGATAGCCAGACTAGAGCGTTCCCGCTTGGATTGTAAAGAGTGGACTTCTCCGAACAAGTCCTGTAGCAATTTTCCGACCCCGAAGGAACAGAGGCTTGGTAAACCCGGAGCGGGATAGAGGGTAAGAACACGAAAAGGAAACAACTTTAGAAGAACAATGGATCCAAATTACTTAGATATTTTCATGGCTGCTCCCCACGAAGAGTCGTGCGGATCCTAGTACAAAGTACAATTTCCACTTGCCTGACAATTTACTGGTTGGAGAAAGTTTTCTTTCTTTGGAGGATCGAGATCAACGGCACACGTGTTTTAAGTTGTTACGACAATCGTAATGATTCCTGGTATTGTTTCACGCTAAGGAATGTTTCTGGATAGAAATGTCGAACTGGTTAGCCTGAGTGACTCTACATGTTAGGTATGATCCTCCTCTGAGTATTTCTCTTCGACACACTGCTGATAACAACAGCCCAAGATGAGAGTGTATATCACCGTAGAAAAACTAGAACTAGGAGATCAAAGTCAGACCTGAATACTAAAAAAATCTTTTTAAAAAGAGCAATATCTTCGTTCTTTTTTGAAAAAGTGGAAAAAATTCATTTAAACATAAGAGGTAGATCGATCACACTAACTTACTAGAAACCCGAAATCCTATAAACACGAGCCAGAATAAGTCATTTCAACAAGATTTTATCAGGTCAACCATAATACGGCTTATCTAAATCTCAGTATGTAAAATCGCGAGCAAAAACTGTTTGCACAACGGGTTACGCTCCAAAATATTTAAGAAGCCTTTCGACCATTGTTGGCGTGCATCAGCACAAATGTCTTGAAAATTACATTTTGCGAAATCATATGTATCAAACTGGGGTAGACTTTGGCCAGGCCTCCTTGGGATTCCAGGAAACCACAATGATTGAACCACCAAGTCTCCGAATATTGAAAAATGGTGATTATGCTGGGGCCGCACATGCATCAAACTGTGAGGATTGCAACCCTTCTTGCATTCAACTCGTTTCTTCACATGGATCACCCGTGACTGTACTGGAGTTTCTCACCTGTTGCTCCTGCTGCTGTTAAAAGATTAGCGACTTCTTCATGAACGTCGTTAAATGCTGGTCGAGTCGCGTTTTGTCGTGGAGTCCTGGAGTAACCGGACCAGACCATTCGCGCTTCGACTGAAGGTAGTGCGCTGTTCTCAGACAAGTGATACGAATTTGCCGACGCCTGAAGTATGAGAGGCTTGGTGAGCCCGGACTGGGATCGAATCAGAACTGTTCATTATGAACGGCATCGCAACCATTGCTCTACCCTTCGTTAAATATATGAGGTAGATAGCAAGAAGTTTTTCCATAAATCTGGTGGGTAACATGAATATATCCAATAAGTTGACTGCTTTAAAGCATTCACTAGCATGCATGTCATTAAGTTGGCAATTGGCTCATTTTCCCGACTCATCTGTCATTCATCACTTTACCGCTGCAAGCAGGTGTTTGACGCTTATAAATTATGATGACTACGAGAAGCAGTTTATGCAAATGAGACAGGATCAGTAATGGAACTGTTTCTCCATAGAAAATTTCAAAACTCTAGGATATAAATCTAGTCGCTACAGGTATACTGATTGAGTTTAGAATAATAGAAGTCCTTCCAAGCTCCTTATTAACTGTAGAGCTATGTAACTATAGAACTTATAACATATTTCTAATGCGTGTTTCAACTGCAAATGTTAGTATTTCGAAAGCAACTTTCCTTTAACCTCGGTATGAGTAATCAATAATGTATTCTTTCTTTTACGAGATTACACAAGGTTGATAAATATGCTTATTTTCGACTAAAGTTTCGACGTCTTCGTCTTCACCAGAACCGATGATCCGGTGGCGTCTTCGCCTTCGTGTCGAACCATGTCTTCCTCAGAGAACCATCTCCTCAAATAAGGCGCACTCATTCGGTGACGCCCTTTTAGACAGGATGCTGATGGTGGATAGTTGTGATTGTCCGGTGATAACATGTTCCGACGAGAATGGTTCCAAGGAGATGGTATGGTCCGCAGAAATAATCTTCCCATCGAGTGCAACTTTTGAAGATGTCTCTACTCCCTAATAAACTTGGTGAAAGTGAAAGCATAGCGCGTTCCCGCACTGTGCCTAACCACACCATATTACAACGTGGAAAAAAGGATGGATTGTCCGGAGGAAAACAAGTTGCTACAAAGAATACATATTGATTAATTATATCGGAGTTAAAGAAAATTCGGTTTCGAAATATTACGTTTTGTACTAGTTGCTAATAACACCGACTTCTGCAGGATGGATTGTCCAGAAGAAAAATAAGTTGTTATCACCCGACGATCAAAACTATCCACTATCAGTATCCTGTATAAAAGTATAAAAGGGCTCTTATCTAAACACCTTTGTGGTTGTACTTCACATAATACCCTGCTACGAGAAAAGAATAGGCAGTAAATAAAATTCAGACATACTTACTTACTTGATACTTGAACGGCCCGTCCTCACTAGTTGTGCGGGCACCAGCAAAATCACCATTTTTCTGAGATTTGCTGGTTAAGCTACTGTGGTTCTCTGGAATCCCGAGGACAGCCTGGCCAAAGTCTGCCCCAGGCCGTCACCATGACAGGTAGCCGCAGCCCTTGTGGATCAGAGGGAGATTTTCCACCATGCGACTAGTTTAATACCAGGACGGTGGTGGATCCTGGTATTGGCTTACTCTTAGCTAGACTTCCTCATGGAAACGCTGGACTCCTTCTCAGCTTGAGAGACGCTTCTAGAGGATGAATCCTCCGCTGTACTTCGCAGTCCGGCACCTATGAACACCTCCCAGCCACGATGAGGCGGTAAGCCGTTAGGAGGTATGATTTTAATAACATTAAGTAATAGTTAGATAGCACGAATATTTCCCTATATCAGCACTGGATCTGTAATGAGCATTCAAAAGGTGTGTTATCGATGGTGGAGTTTACTCCTGATGTCTTGGTGTCATTTTTACCATGGATTCGGGGAAAATACGCCTAATAATTCCTAGGTCGCCGCCAGAGGAAATCAGTAGTAATTGTTCGCCGAGGGTGGTTTCTTTCTACACTGTATTCCACGATGACGGATGACTGGTTTACCTAACCAGTGAAAATCTTGAATACTTCGGTATTTTTAACCATGCTAGGAAAACTTCAGCCCAAAAATTTCCGTTCTACACTGATAACCATCTAAAGGGCTTCAACGAGTTATGCTAGTGAATCAGTTATGCCCTATTGGATTGGAGGTTCCTATTACGGACAACTTAGCCGCAATTTTAAGCAGGTGAAATAAATCTTGTGGTTGTTCTGTATAAGAAACAATTTAAAACGTCGTGTTTCATCGCCTTCTAACAATATTAATGCATCACTTTACACTTCTAATCTTGGAATAGTAGAACAGACTCTGACATGCACAACGTCACAACCCTTGCTGGCTATCTAATCCATCCCAGATACTCTCGGAATTTACTAATTACGTATTCTCTGTATTTTTGTTGAGCAAACATGAAGTGTTATTTTATTCTTCACTACTCTAAAGCTGACGTTTCGGCAGATTTCACCTACTTCACAGCCCACTATTCTTCTCCAACGGAGGTCCTCAACTACTGAGCACAGTGGTGTTCGTTCGTCGCATACTTCTTCAACTTGGCGAACGTTCGGGCTTTTTTGCTTTGTAGTCAGGCGCGTAGTATTCGCATTTCGATGTCCAGTACTCGATGGCTATCCATTAGTAGTTCGCGCCCATCGTGTAGTCGATTTCGTTTGATCAAATTCGGAGCAACTTGGTGCTGTAGGCGGCGGACAAACTATCAAACGAAGAGGACTACAAGACATATGACTACTAGAGGATGGCCAACGAGTACTGGACATCGAAATACGAATACTACGCGCCTGACTACGAAACAAACAAGACTGGACGTTTGCCAAGTTGAAGAAGTGTGCGACGAAGGAACACCATTGTGCCCGGTATCTGGAGGACTGCCTTTGGAGATAGTGGGCTCTGAAGATGCGTCAGCTTTACCGTAACAAAGAATATTGTAACGTCTCGTGCTTACTCAACAAGAATGTAAAGTGTTATTTGACGAATACCAAAGTTAATAGAAAGTCGGTCGTGGTAATTGTACATTATTCTCCAAGGGTATTCATTTGATTTGAGAATACGAATTACATTTATGGCTAGGTTGCAACTAAATCGAAACCACTAACTGACCACTAACATATGGAATGATAGGATTTTAAAGGTGACAATTATGTGGTTTCTGTATTCAATACGACATGGATATCTTTCACTTTAATAGACGACGTTCAATCTAAATTCATTTCGTAGAAAGACTATTCGATTCACTTGATTACCAATAGAATAACAGATATGCCTAATCTAACAATGAAAGCATATTTATTCACACATTAACACTATATCAAAAGAAATGTGTTTGACTTGACTAGAGCTTGCCAACTGCGATTTGTGGCTCAAACAAGAGCGAAAACTAGATATAAATCTAGTCAAAGTAATCCTCAATATCAATTCGAGGATCTAAGAAATCCTCCTCTATCTCTTCCAAATCGGTTTTGTTTAAAATAAGATTTTCGATCGTTTCCTGAAAGATTATCAAGCACTTTATCAAAGCATGAACCCAGCTTGATTTGACAAAAATATAAAAAAAGGACAAGAAAATACTAACCTCTAAGTCCGTCTCACCAACAAGAACGGCACCAACCACCCGGTGATTGTACATAATGCAGCGAACAAATTGGTCCTCCTCGATTATTCTGTTCAAACTATACATATATACATATGTCATATACATACATATATATATATATATATATATATATATGTATATACACGTGTACTACTCTCATATCACTATGTCGCCTAATTCACGAAGAGGAAATACAATATTCACCTGTCAATAGTATACCATCCTTGCAGTTGACGTTCACCCTTGAAATCGCCAACAAAAACAACCTGTTGAAAAACAATATCATGTTTGGAAGCTAAGACACTTATAAGAAAAAAACTCCTATAATATTTGAAGAAATCACGATAAACAATTCTCTACAATTAAGAAACAAATATCACAAAAAAAACAAACCTTGTAACCAAAAAATGAGGTTGTATGGGTGAACAACTCAAAGCAGAAGTCGACATCTAACTTTCCATTTACCATCATGGACCTGGCACAGTAATCACCCATCTGCCTCGCCTGGGTCCAAAGACGCATCTACAAACGTAGGCCTCTTTAGTAGCACGAAAAAAAAGTCGTGCATATCTGATCGAGAACATTCATCGAGTGCCATTATCACTTTAAGTTTACTACTGGATCAATAACTATGCACATCCCTTTTTAAGTCCCTGCTTAAGAGAGGAACATAAAGCAATGCAACATGTGGAAACAGGACATGGAAATGGAATCAAAACTGCATATTCTCAACGAACAATTACGTTACAAAAACTGGAAAAGAAGTTCACGAAAATCACAATTTCCAAAACTACAGGTATAACCACAATGATGTTGATATATTCGCAAAACTCTGGACCGAAGGTTAAGCGGTGGAGATCGAACCCGGTATTACCCTTTCCGGTAGCTGACGTGTTCACCACCACACCATGCGGGTCCTCCGTTTCGCCTTTTTCTCCGCCATGATGGTGAACACGTTAGCCCCCGGAAAGGGTAATAGCGTGTTGAATCCCCACCACAGACACCTACACCTGACCTCTGGAATTTGCAAATATATTAGCGTCATTGTGGTTGCATTTCACATAATATCGTACCGTGAGAAATTGTAGCAGGCAATAAATAAAAAGTCATTGTGACCACGGATACGTTTTTCTAATAGTGCATGTAATTTTCAAATACTAAATTTCTCAAATGTATCATCGCTATTGTCCTTCCATATTCTTCCAACGTTTACCGCCCCATTGTGGATGGGAGGCGTTCCTGGTTGTCGAGCTGCCATGTACAGCGGAGGAATTAGTGTCTCTGGCAGGGTCTCCCAAGCTGAGGAGTCCGAGGCTTCCATCAGGAAGCCTAGCCAAGAGTAAACCAATACCAGGATCCACCGCCATCCTGGTATTAAAGTCGTATGCTGGCAAATCTCCCTCTTAACCACAAGGGTTGCGACTGCCTGTGGTGGTGATGACCTGGAGCAGACTTTAGCCAGGCTGACCTCAGGATTCCATGAAATCACAATTGCTTAACCAACAAATCTCCGAAAAATGGAGGTTGTGCTGGGGCCCGCACAACCAGTGAGGATGGAGCATTCAAGCAAGTAAGTACAAATGTATTATAACAGTACCTGCTTCCAAAAGCACGAAGGAGTACTCCACGAGACGCTGCACACATCACCACATGCGTATACGTCAGTTATAGAAGTACACATAGAATCATCAACCAAAATACCACCATCAGAAGATGACAACTTTAACTAAACCAATACGAAGTATTTACACTACAGCTGGATGACCGTGTCATTTACAATGAGTTAAAGAAGAATTAAGAGTTCTGCACACTTATAGTACGAATTGATCGGTAGCATTTTTAAAATGGAAAAACTCACTTCTTGACAACAATTCTTCCAAATACTCGTTGTCGGAACAACCCCAGTTGCCCAGATAACGAAGTCGCACTGGACTTGATCACCATTTGACAGTGACAATACTACGCCTTCCTCTTCGTCTATTACCTCTTGAACTTCGACGTTGTAAATAACATTAACATTTCGACCCTAAATTATGCTACTGAAAGCAAATAATAATAATGACAAGTCAGATCGCTCAAGACTTTGGCACAAAACGTATGATAACTACGAATCAGAAGAATATGTGTAGCCCATATGAAAGAGCTCAACAGTAAAATGATAGCATTAAGCATCGTTAGAGGTGATTGAATAATATATGGCCTTTAGAATAACTCGCGGTGGCCTACCGATGCATCGAGCCAGTTCTGCTATCCTACCAGATTAGTCTAGTACTAATTTGCCGACCCCAGAGGGATAGAAGACCTGGTGAGCCTGGGCGCAGGGAACGATCCCACATGTATTGCAGGGTGCCTCGCACCACAGCGCCAAACGCGCAACAGCTCAACAGTAAGCTATTTTATTTCGAAGTAAAAACAAATGATATGGAGACAATTCATAAAGATTAAGCATTAAATCAATTACTACTTGTCAAAAAACATGAGTTCAAACAGTTTTTTTCTTTCAGTACGCACAAAGACTAGTGGTAGGACCATGAACGAAATTGAAAGATGTACCTGAGAATCACAATCGAATGAAAAAGATGAGGTCCAGTCAGGACCAAGGGCACATCCTGACAAATTCTGTATCGTGCCCTTTCCTGAGGGTTCGCTCAGTGAATACCGTAATCGTTTGAGAACACCAGAGTTCTTCTCGCCTAAAGTAAATGTTCTTAATGCTGAGTACTGCAATAAGTCATTGGACGAAATGAACTGAAACGTAGAAGCAAACCTTCCGCTCTTCCCATATCTAAGCGTTTTTGGAAAAACTTTGAAATAGCCGTATCAAAGAAAACGGAAGAGATTGAGTCATCACGAATTATCCAAGTGATGGCAACCCCTCTCATCTCGAACCTGAACACAGCTGCAGTATACCATTAACTTTGTGCCTCCAACTGAACCATATAGATTTCCGAAGGCTACAACAAAAGCAATTATTCACACAACTTCCGTGGCGATACCTCCGTTGCCGACCACAGCGACATGCTTTGCTCCGTGCAAACGACGCTGAAGTTCATCAGCGGATTCTGTGTCTCGGATGGTTAAAACCTATGAAATCAAACATAAAAGCGAAATACTGAAAATACTCGTGGTTCAATCAATGCCGAGGTTAGTAGAAAGTCAGTCGTTCGTGGTCGAAGGAACTCTTTCAGTATTCCTATCAACATTAAGAATGAAAGCGTGACAATATCAACAGACCAACAAAACTAAGGATATGTACAACGGTTGTAATCTCAGCTTCTTCCATACTCTGCACAACTGTGGATTCGTCTAATCTCACTTTGTCTCACTGAACCAGAGTAATGAAAAGTAAAGAATATTTACCTTTTTGCTAGAAAATGGCGCAATCGGTTGGGCACCGGTGGCTATGCACAATTTATCATACCTCACTGGATCAGTGCGTTCGTTGAGAAGTAGTTCCTGGATGGAACAGGGAAATATGAGGAGCACATCATGAAATGTAAGGTGGTTAAGTCTTTCACTACTTCGCAATTTACTGACCTACTGGCCTTAACATAACAAAAACAATTCCAAAGAAGTTATCCAACGAATGACATTCTGAAGACAATTGCGCACTGTTTTATATTTTTACCAATTGAATGATAAGAGATCAGAAAGCTATTTGAATATTGGGGAAATTCACGAGGTTGCAGAATGTATACAATTTAATACACGGTAATTCTGTTTTCTACAAGTTTTTCTAAAGGTTTTCCCTTTGATTTCGCCAAACTGGGCATTTTCACTAAAATTCTAATAGTCATCTTTCATGGTGCCACATTCCTGTAAATATAGAGAAAAAAGAATTATTAGGTATTACAATGTACACCTTTCCAACCTTTTAATTCCTCACAACGGCTTACCGCCTCATCGTGACTGGAAGATGCTCTTGGGTGTCGTGCTGCGATGTACAGCGGGGAAATTCATCGCCCCAGCAAGGTCTCTCAAGATGAGAGGGAGTCCGGGGTTTCCATCAGAAAACCCAAATAACAGTAAGGCAAAGCCAGGATCTACCACCGTCCTGGTGTCAAACTGGTAGCATGGTGTCAAATATCCCTCTGATCCACATAGGCGGCGACTGCTTGTAGTAGTGACGACTTGCGGCAGACTTTGGCCAGGCTGACTTCGGCACTCCAAGGAAAAACAACGGCTAAACCAGCAAAATTCCAAAAAAATGAAGAATATGCTGAGACCCGTACAGCCAGTGAAGACGGGCCATCCAAATATCCATGTAAGTAAGTATCACCTGTACCACCTGTAGTCTCGCTGATCATCGAGTGACTCGAGCGGGCGCCAGTAATTCTTCCATTTTTCCCTGTCGCGTGCGAGAGTAGCCCAGTGGGTTCTGCTCGCTCTAAGAACTCGTCGAGCATCATATTTTTCTTTTAAGCTCCTAGTGAAAAAACTCTGACCATCGGGTCGGTGGTCTACCGGCAGCACGTTTGACATCCCGAGGAATCCAGTCACTAACGGCTCTTGTCCATCGGTTGTCATTCATACACATTACGTATCCGGCCCACCTTATCTTCGACTGTTTGGCGTACAGAACAGCGTCTTTGGTTTTTGATCGTTGACGCTGGTCGGTGCCTTGGATTCCTTGCTTTACTTGAGTGAAACGGGATACTCCTAGCATCGTCCTCCCGACTGCGCATTCGATAACGCTGAGTGACCTTTCATCCTGCTTACGCAGCGACCAGGTTTCTGACGCATACGTTAGGGCAGGAAGGACCGTTTAGTCGAAAAGGTGGGTGTGGAATCGGGTGTTTGTTGTTCCCTACATCCTCGATGCTCTTGAAAGCTCCGCAAACCGCTCGTTTTCTTCTGCTCAGCTCTGGAGCTAGGTCGCTCATCATATTGATTTCCCGATCTAAGTAGATATAATTGGAGCATTCGGAGATATACGTTCCGTTGAACGTGAATGGGGTATGGGAAACCTATCCGTTCTTCATGAACATCGTTTTTGTGAGATTTAGTCGAAGACCAATCTTTCCACAGGCTTCACCAAAGTCGTCAAGCATACGTTCCGCCTGGCTAATGTTTGGTGTTATAAGGACGATGACATCAGCAAAGCGAAGATGGTTTAACTGCCGACCATCGATTTTCATTCCAATATTATACCATTCCAATGTTGGCATGACATTATCGAGGGTGGCAGTAAATAATTTTTGCGAAATGGTATCGCCTTGCCTAACCCCTCTTTTGACGTCAATGTTTAATATCGTTGTAGAATGGTGACATCTTAGTTGTAAAATTTAAAAAAGGAAAAAGTAAGTAAATGTTATATTTATTTATGTGATCTTATAAACTGACCTCAAGCTGACGCGAGGTTGGTACAGATCTTCGTTGTCGTTGTCGTTGTTCCACCCAATACCACCCAATACCCTACGCCGCCAGTTAGTTCGAAACCGTCTCTATGATCGTTTGTGCAGCTCAGAAAACTGAATGATCTGTCCTGACGGTAGAGACGGGGATTGCATGAGTCTAGGTATAATACACTTCATCTCATGTAATGCATGCATCGAGGAATATATTGGAGAAACGGGTAGACCACTTGGTGTCCGCATAAAAGAACATCTAGGTGGGAAAGCTAAAATCCGTTTAAACACCCCTCTAGGTACGCATAGGGCACAAAAGCACAACGGCGATGATTTTGAAGTGAATGTGCGATCCTAGAGCAGGAATCAAAAACATCAACGAGCAAAACGCTTGAGGTGTTTTGGATAAATTTCAAAAAACCAAAGATGAACCGGAAAGACGAATGACTCATTATCACGCGTGACCTGGCGCCCTATTTCAAAATGATATTTTAACCCGGGGTGTGTCTTGCTCGCGATCCCACGTGAACTACGTGTGGGCCAGTACCACACGTAACGTCACGGTGAGTGGCCTTTCTGTTCAATATGACGTCTATTTGAAAGTTTGATCTTCATTAATACTTTAACCTTCTTTTCCACCGAATAATAAAAAGTATTCTAACATAAAGTACGTCCAGGCTCTGAGGAAGGCGAAGTCGCCGAAACGTCAGCCATCGATCAATAACATCAAAAACAACGACAACGACAACGAAAATCTGTACAAACCTCGCGTCANCCCGGGGTGTGTCTTGCTCGCGATCCCACGTGAACTACGTGTGGGCCAGTACCACACGTAACATCACGGTGTGTGGCCTTTCTGTTCAATATGGTGTCTATTTAAAAGTTGATCTTCATTAATACTTTAATCTTTTTCACCGAATAATAAAAATATTCTAGTATAAAATAGTGCAGGCTTTGAGGAAGGCGAAGTCGCCGAAACGTCAGCCATCGATCAATAACATCAAAAACAACGACAACGACAACGAAAATCTGTACAAACCTCGCGTCAGCTTAAGAGGATCAGTTTATAAGATCACATAAATAAATATATCAACTATCTATGCCGAGGTTAAAGAAAGTCGGTCTTTCGAGTTATTAAGTAAATATTACATAAAATACTGATTTTTCGTATTTTTGCTCAACAAACGCAAGGTGTTATTATTCTTTATTCACAAATAAGCTGACGTTTCGGCCGATTTCGCCTTCCTCAGAGCCTGGAAAGGTCAAGTTGATAGCAATCTACTCGGCCAGACGCCTCCATAACCAAACAAAGAAACTCATAGAAAGCAGTGAGTGTGCAAAGCTGTGTTCAATGTGATTAAAACCTTGGTTTAGAGTTTCTTTGTTTGGTTATGGAGGTGTCTGACCGAGTCGATTGCTATCAACTTGACCTTTCCAGGCTCTGAGGAAGGCGAAATCGGCCGAAACGTCAGCTTATTCGTGAATAAAGAATAATAACACCTCGCGTTTGCTCAATAAAAATACGAAGAATTACTTGGTCAATGCCGAGGTTAATAGAAAGTCGGTCGTGGGATAAAATACTGAGTACTACTCAAGAAGTTAGAAAGAAGAATTTCGTCATAGTTGGGACCATACGGTCTATGCAATAGTTGTCACGGAAACATAAATTTAAAAAAAGATTAACGAAGAAAAAAAGCATAAAATTACACGTAAACGTGGTCAAACCTATTACTTATTACTTTAGGCGGGGATTACGGGCCCTTCCTTGGCTACAATTCTATAACTACTACTCCTCATTGGGCTTATGAGGACGGCAACTTATGAGGACCCACTAAAATCATTTGCTTCTGCTTCCCTTACATGGAAGAATTCTTAGAATTTTGATCCTCAATAATACCTTGCTCTCATAATTCCAATTATTCACTTTAGCTTCAATGAAGCTGAAACGAAGATCTTCCGTTGCCATTTCGCACTCCTCTACATCAAATCTCTCGGAGAATCTACCGATCTAAATGGAACCAAGCCTAAGTCAAAAACGACTAATTTCGACTAGTGCAATGTTAGAAGCATTAAGAAAAATCCACCTACCTGACTCCAGTTAGATACCACCTTCACTATCCTACTAGCAGAGATAAGAATGACGTGATCAGATTTATTAATCGATTCTAAAAGCCGTTTTGTACAGCTTACGCCAGCTATGCCTCCTCCGACAACTACATAAATCATTGTCGTCTAAAAAGAAGTCCAATAAGTTAAGGAAATAAAGGGGTGAAACAGGAAGAAACAAATCATTCTAAACCAAATAATCGGAGTCTTCGCTACGTGGAAGCGGTTAGAGAGATGGTTAGTATGCTGCTTCTCCCTAATCCCGTATGAATGAATGGTGTTAAGAAGCTTTGTGGTTCTTAAAGCACATCACTACAAAAGGCGCGTCTAGCGCAGTGGTCAGAGTCGCCTTGCAATACATGTGGGATCGATCCTCGCACCCAAGGCTCACAAAGTCCTTCATCCCTCCGGATTCGGCAAATTGGTGCCAGACTTATCTAGGAGGATAGCAGCACTGGTTCTATACATCGGTAGGCCACCGTGAGTCAGTGTATATGCCAGATATGCATTTAATCACCTCTAACGATGCTTAATAAAGTCGAATGCATGGCGCAACCTTCAGGGATTGATCAACGCCGAGAGCTTTATCCTTTTTTAAAGCACCTCACCAATCTCTTGACTTTAGTTTTTCACTGTGAGCACTGCAAAGCGTGAAAAATCATCATAACCTTCCGACGCCTTCCAATGCCAGTCATCGATTAGGACGTGGCTTCGGGAAGGTGTCCAGTGCTTCATCTTTGTCCAAGCATGCATTGAATGCTATTCATACAGAATCCATTTAAAGTATCATGTCTCAACGACACTAAGAGTAGCCTTGTTTTCAATGCACAATGGAGGATAACAAAATCCAGGTCGCTTTATTCGCCATTCTTCAATCTACGCAGCACCCACTTATAGACCTTAACTTTTCAAGATGAACAGCTCCAAAGCTGCTGCTGTTCTTACGTTTAGTTTACTTACAAGTTCTAGAAATGCTATTCATCGATCTGGAACTAATTAATTGCTCAAATGTACTTCGGCCATAGTAACCAGTCATCCCTAAACCGTCCACATCGTGTAGCCACTCATGGCCTTAACAAAGCCTCAATACCTACCTTAAGCCGTGGTACTCAACAGTTCCTTTAATGTTAAGGGCTTTCAGAGTTCTAGGTCAAATCCAGACTTCGTAATCAGCTTTTTCTTTCACTTTATTGTTTTGTTCCAACAGCCTAAATCGAAAAAACGTTGACATAGAAAAAAACAGTTGAGAGCATTGAGTGAAAGCTGCTCTTAGAAATGGGATATGCACTGAGAACAAAGCGAAAGGACCTGTCTGAAAACCGGGAAGTTTGAAAACACAGAACTGTTGAAAACTTCCGTACAACTTTCGAAATTCTTCTCGAAGAAAGAAAGAAAAGACCTCAGAAGTGTGGGTCGAGTGTTACCAACTTTGTCATAAATCTAGTACTATACGAACATGATTTCAGCTGTTGGTCCTGTTCGTTACAAGTTTACCTCTTATTAAGGCCCTAAAACAACTTACCGTTGGAACACAATCCTTACCGTCAACAAGGGTTTCCCGAAACTCAGAATGTATAAACTATTCATAGTTAAGCATTGCCACATAAAAGATATTATTCATTACTTTCAGTACCTAATGAATACTAATAAATCTCCTTCGTAAAAACTTAACTTTGTACGCTTAAGTTTCCTCAGAAAAGCATAACAAGACAGTAACAATTAATTTTCTAGTAGATATTACTTAGTTAGTAAGAAATCTCATTGCTCTCCGTTCCCACCAACTCCGGAAACCCACGGAGATATCATATGTGGACCCTTGTGCTCGCGTCACTCCTGTAAAAAGTATAGCAGTATTCTGCGATAAAAGCAATTGTATTCAATGCTAACATCTATATTTTACATCTACACATAGCAGATACAGTATTCTGTGTTCGAAACAAGGAATGAAAAAGACCAACGATATACTGTGAGTAGCCGAGTACATGGATTACAATTTTTTCAGCATTACTACACAAAGTGGAGCTACTACAACAAAACGTTCAAAGTTACTCTATTTATAGAACTACATTTAGCACTATATTACTCACCTACAGGATTACTAAAGAACAACTTTTACAACTAACAGTAAAACGACAACGAAAATTTCCTCTGGATGAGGACTCATCCGTGCGCTCAGTCGCGCTCAAATCGAAAAGCGTCCACTACGCGCTAATGTTTTGATGCTTTCAAGTTCTGGCACGGTGCCAGTTTTTTCACCCTGATTTCTAGGAGTCGCCAAGTTACTATTTTGTTCTCCGCTTTACTTTTTCTGGATCTTTGATTATTTTACTACTTCCAACTTGTTAGAATTTGCTTAAAATCCCGTACTATCATGTTAAAGTCACATTTTGATAGCCTTAACGGGATACGTTAAAGAATACTTATTGCTAGCGACTTTACTGTTTGCTTTAACCGTTACGTCTTTAGGGAGTTGCAATTCTTCTATTTTTGGTATTTGCTGTAACTTTTCCTGCCAAAAACCATTGCGTATCCTCTGCCTTGTCATAAAAAAGCAATGTAACAAATTTGATAAACTACAATTACTTTCGGCTTGTGTATTTCCATAATTAACCTTCTCCTAGTTTTTATATAAAAAATATTACTTGCATAAAATTTTTACCTCAGTTCATCTTTTGATTTTTCGATCATCTTTCTGTTTCTCTTCCATTCACATCATATTCGATTTTCATCCTTCTCTCTTTTTTCACTCTTTCTCTCATCGGATTTTCCTTCTGTCTGATATAATTTTTAACGTTTCATTCTTGAGGCATCCATTTTTTTGTTCTAGTTAGTTTTTAGTCGTAGAGAACAAAATGGATACATCACGGACTGAAAGTGAAAACGCTGCCGCTGGCGACGCCCCTGTTAATCGCTCTCCTGAGGTAACGTACTCTTCAGAAAAAATTCTTTCTTTTTTGTTTTTGAAGCTCATACTTTACATTCATTGTGATGCAACTACAATGATGCTGCGATGTTTGCAAAACTCCGGATCGCAGGTGTCTGCGGTAGGGATCGAATTCGTTGTTATCCTTTCCGGGGGATATATTTCACATTATATCTTGCCGCGAAAAAGAATATGCAATAAATAAAAAGTGACTTCATTGTGAGTCATCGTAATGTTGCAAGCGGTCCTGAAATCAATTTGTATAAAAAAGGTGAGGTTAGAAAGGCCAGGTTTAGGGTTTTGTAAGGTTTTAGGTTAAAAAAAGTTAAGCCTTATCGCATTACTACTTTTGTACCGTTTTATTTCTTGATCTATAAAAGTTGTCGGTCTGGTTCTAGAAGGAGGAAACTCTTGTATCTGAAGCCACTGTCAATACAGTAAAGGATGAAAGTTCAGCACACACTGAAATATCTTCGGTACGGTATTTGATATTATTTGTTTATTGGTGTTTATAACAACTATCGGACAATCGATAATGACCAACAGTTGAAGTGCTTTTTTTAAGAATATGAGGAGCAGAAAAAGAGTCCAAATTCCTTTTCAGACAGAGTACTGCAAGCACTTTTTCTTTAGAGTAGTGATGTCTTTTCTAACTGATTCACAGAGAGCTTGGCTGAGTATTGATTTTGGAAATTGACCGTTTAAAAAAAACTCTTTAATGAGGGGTTTTAATAGTCTATCTCTATGTTTACATACCGCACTGTAAGCATATTTCTCAGCCAGGAATGGAAATGCCGGAAGCGGCTTCTGAAGGAGAAGTGGACAGTAATGTGGTTGAGGTTAGTCACTTGTTACAGTAGTATTTTCAACATGCTAATACCCTAATAACTTTTTTTTACCTATGTTCAACTTTTGTGTGAATAGATGAGTATAATATGCTTCTTTTCCGACGAAACCGCTTATCACATTGGAATCAAAACAGATGGAAGTACCTGCAGATGTTGACATGCAGTTAGGAATTCTATTCAATGAGGACATCAAAGGAAAGGTCCACCCTGTAAACTGTTCTACCGACATTCGTTCTACTGAACAACCTACTAAAGATGCGTCCTTCGCAAAGCAAACCGTCTCTGACACTCATTTCGTGCAACATTCAGTCGAAGCCGACGCCAGAATAGAACCTCCGGACCAAAAAATTGAGGTTACTTTTTATACAGTAAAACAGTCCACTTTTTAGGAATTGCTGAAAGAATGCAATGGTAGGGATCCATCCATGGAAGGATTCCTATTCTAAGTCATCACCTTTATCATGAAGTTTCCATTGTTCAGTCCGCAGTGACGCTGAAGGACCAAATGGATACCAATGAAAATAATGAGGAACGATGCCCAACAACTCCTCCATCAGCAGAAGCTTCAGAATTGACTCCAGAAGATCGGTCATCTATAACTGAAGCTGAACAGGACACCCCCAAAAGTGTAACGGTTAGTGCCTGTGAGGCAGATTTCAGTCAGGCAGTTAACCTGAGTCTACAGTTATGTTGGCGAAGAGTTATCATAAATTCCTCCTCGCTTGTAATCTCGTGGACTTATTATGTTGGAAATATGTATCACCTATGTATTATATAGACACGTATTCTTTTATTCTTTTAAAACCATTCCTGGTATATCTACCCATTCGACGAGTATCAGCTCTGGTTTTGAACAAATAGAGATTAATATTTCACAAACATATTATAGTACTTTTCAGATATTTTATTGCCATAGTACAGAATATCTAGTGCATAAGAAATGGGTAAGAAATGACATAGTCGTACCTTAGTATTCTTAAAAGTATGGTTTCACATGAGTAGTGGACAGAGCGATATCGATGTTGAAAGTAAAACTAAATGTATAATTCCTAAAGGATATCGCGTAAGGTGTAAGAGTTCCATATATCGTTTAACTTAGAGATCTGCGTACATAATGGCTTTGAGATGTCATTTATATCAATAGAAAGTTTTGATGATGACGATGATGTAGGTGGTAGTGATTTGAGTATACTGAATCACAGTCCATGCAGTATTGACTTAAATGTTATTGTATTTGCAACGTTGTAGAGCTAACATCACTTAAGAGGAAGAGACTTGATCCGTTTACGTAGTTTCTATTCTTCATTGTCTCGATTTTGAAGAGGTAAGCAAAAATGTGATTGTTGTGCCAGGGAGACAGACGAGGAGGAATGCATATAGAATAAGGTCACGTTGGAATGGGAGAACAGTTTGGTATCTCCACGATCTGGATGAGAGCCCGTTATCAACAACTAAGAGTGCAAAATAAAGTACTGTTCATATAAAAATGAAGTGTAGGCATATACCACAGTTTATACCTTGCTACAATAGAAAATTGGATGAATGGTTTGGTTAGATATGAATTAAGAAAGAATGTTCTCAATGAAGTATGAGAGGAACGATTCTGAGAGTCACCTACATAGAGAGAAGTTAGCAGAAGTGGATCGTGTCGGTCTATTTGTGGGTAGAAGGCGATGTATTGTGTGAGGATTACGGTATCTGGGTTGTGGATGTGCATGCACTAGCAGTTACCTTCTAACGGTTTTTTCCAAACCATCGTTTATAAGTGGTGTAGAGGAAATGTTTGTGTTTTCTACTCAATTTTTTCTGCGATTGGGAACATCCTAGTCAGTGCGATGTCTCGAAAATCTCTTCGTTCCTCTGTAAAGGAAAATGCTACATCACGGAGGCCAAATGATCAAGTATGGATTAGCATTTTATTAGTATTAGTTTGTTAATAATTGTTAGTTTATCTAGCGTTGATGATGGTTTTGACTTATACAAATCTCTTCTTAATAATCACTAGTGATCAAAGTTAAGATATGGGTCCACTTCTTTAGCTGCCTTATTTTTGCAGAATGTCGTGTTGCTGTAGCACTTTAAAGCTAATTATTTTTACATTTATGGTTTCATGGGAATATTTTGACTTCTTCGACTTCGTTAAAATAAGGTTCCGGCCTGAACATTTCCTCTTCGTATTGAATTTTCATTTTCAGAGCACTGCAACCACTAGAGGTAGGGGTCGAAAACGTAAAGTTACAGAAGAAGATGTATGTGAAACACCGGCTAAAACCCCCCGAACTCCTGGAAGACGTGAGATTTCATTAAAAGTTTTATGTATCAATTTTAAAGTGGCTCAAGCGTTGTACTCTAAAGTAAGGGTTGCTTCAGCACGTGCCCACTTGACCAAGGTGAAGCTGTCATATACAAACTACGTGTCTTCGAAAGTTGGACATCGGGTGCTTTCCTGTGGTGAGGGAGAACAGCTTGGGCATCCTGGCCGTAGTACGACAAAGAAACCACGAAAAGTGGACATTGTTGAGGACGAAGGACTGAAAATTGTCCAAGTATGAGCATATGATTGTTGTAAAGTAACTGCCACGACCGACTTTCTATTGACCTCGGCATTGATCAAGTAATTTTCTTCGTATTTTTGTTGAGCAAACGCGAGGTGTTATTATTCTTTGTTCACGATTAAGCTGACGTTTCGGCGGATTTCGCCTTCCTCAGAGCCGCTTCCTATGAGGTTTCCATTAAGTATGTCACGTAGAGACCAACCGCACAGAAATCACATGGAAGTATAATGTAAAGTAACTTTTTCTTTCATGGTCTTATAAACATCACTACCATTACAGGTGGTGGCCGGTGGTGTTCATTCGGCCCTGTTAACCCTCGATGGTGAAGTGTACATGTGCGGAATCAACGAACAAGGAACGGTTCCTGCTATCGGTAAATTTTTTACCTTCAGAACTTTTTGTACCTGCAAATACACCGATGCGATTAATTGTGGTATATTTCAGGGGTGGAGGCTGAAGGAGTAACAGACAAATTCACAAAAGTTGAGCTAACAAATGAGATAAGAGCTCAGGGAAAGGTAATTGGGGAACAATTTTTCTGCTTACTTGAATGAAGCCGTTGATTTCTTATTTGTATCTCGAACAGGGCACACTGCAATTCATTTTTCATTTCCTTTCAATAAAAATTAATTGCTTGGGATAAAAAATGTACTTTCAGATTGTGATGTTAGCAGCAGGTGCAAGTTTTACGGCTGCGCTCACTGATAAGGGTTCGGTTATTGCATGGGGAAACCTGAGAGTAAGTAAATTTGTATTAGAGGTGGATCTGTTTGTGCTTCTCGAGCTTTTCTTTTTTTTATTAGAAAAGCTTCATCCTAGGATACAAGCGGTGAGATCAACGTGCATCCACTGTTGGCCAAGATGAAAGACCACCCTGTTGTCTTGATCCATTACAAGAAGCGAGTTATCGTGAAGGTAAAAGTTGCTTTTGTTTTAGCTCACTGAAGGGCTATATTGTTAAGATAGTTCTTATTTCAGATTGCAGCTGGAGAAAATCATCTTGTCATGTTAGAAGAGGATGGTAAAGTATTAACATTCGGAGATGGAAAAATGGGTCAGTTAGGTAGAAGCAAGAGAGCTGGGTCAATAAGACCGCGTACGTTTCTTTTTTCACTTGTACAGGTTTTGGATAACATTGGGTAACTTTTTCGTTGATCTTATAATCTATTCAAAGCATGTTTCTTTATAGAGTCTATCGGAGCAGGGAATTTTAAGAGTGTACGAGAGCTCTCCCTGCAGAAGATATCTCTGTTGCATTATGTCAAAGGGATATTTTCTGTCGATAAATCATTCGGAGAGATTAAATGACTAACCACTCTTCCTCATCTTTACTGACTTCGTAGGGAGCACTAGCATCCTGAAAATGTATACCAGCAGACCAACGTATAACGCGAATTCCTAATTGTAGTGATTGTTCTACGAGTGCTTTTCCATCTGATACTTATCGACAACAGTTTTCATTCTTGTTTGCCAAAATATCTGTTGAAATATAATTTACGAAATAAAATATAACATTAACACAATAAAAAAAATAATTTGAATAACAAATATGGATGAAATTGAAGTAATAAAATAATGGTAATAAATGTAATGTAAAACACATCCTTCACCTTTCTTGACACTAATTTGTACCAAAGATGCAGAACTCGGATTCTTTTGTGAACCACCTCCGTTCGGAGATTGATGCAAATGATGAGAGCAACGATCCTAGGCCGTATTGCGCAGGCTATCTTTTCATCAGAATCTTGCTGGGTTGTCGTCAAGCGGAGTAGTTCTTGCGTATGTGATAGCATCTGAAGTGAAGGTTTGAGTTAGGGCATAGCTATGGTATAATTCTAAGATTATAAGATGTGATCTGGAAAATTGTGTTATGGCATCATTTTTTCCTTGATTAGAAGAATTGATATTTACATCGATGTAGCGCTATTCGTTTCAAATCGTACTTTGGTTATTGTTTCAATATCATTGTAGAATATATGGTCGATGAGGATGGAAGATCACTGATTCTCATTTTACAAGACAAAAGGAGGAAGGATATCCCTGTTAAGGTATGATTGGTAAAAAAAAAAAAAGAAACAGTTGTTATAGAATAGTTTGACTGGGAATGTAAGGATATCATCGTAGGACATTCATGCTGGCGGTTTCTGGACGATGCTTGTTACTGATGATCAAGTATTTTCGTTTGGGCTCAATAATTTTGACCATCTCGGTGTTCCAATTAAAGGAGAAGCACCAACTGATGGTGAGAATTCGCTTATCATTTTTTCCTCCATGTTTATATAAGTTATTGAATTGTAATCGGATTTGTTGTTTTCTAACCTCATTTGTTGGAAGCGAATATGTTCGTTAAGAAGTGGTGCCAAAAGTTTGAATGCCGTTCCACTGCTTTCTGGTTTTTTTTTTTCGAGATTTTGTTTGGATTTCTTCAAAGTTTTTTTTCCTGTAATGGATTGTTTAACCGTGTTTTTATCACTTTATACATTGTGGAAGAGGCGCGTTTATCGCACTGGTCGGAGGTGCCCTGCAATACACATGGGATCGATCGCAGCGCCCCTCAAGTCCTCAATCCCTCTGGGTCCGGAAAATTAGTACCAACTTGTCTAGGAGGATAGAAGCACTGGCTTGACACATCGGTAGGCCACCGCGAGTCATTTTGAAGCCCAGATATGCATTCAGTCATCTCCATCAATGCTTAATGAAGTATTGCACATTCGTCAGTCATGGATCTACGCCGAGTACTTTAGAAGGCTTTATACATTGTGAATAAATGGTGTTGAATTTATAAAATATGGACTGGATCTGTAGTTGTGTTATATTTAGCATCTGCGGAAGATAAACGTGAGCTCCGTATTTTCACACCCAGTGTCGCAAATGCATATTTGGGCCGAACATGGACTCATATCGATGGAGTCCAACATATAATAGCTCTTGATGCGAATGGTGGGTGTTTGGTGTTTTAAGCAAAATAGCTCTGCCTCGTACCTCTTTATTTTAGTTTTTCATATAGTTTCTAATTTTTATACAGTTAATAACACTTTACCTGGGGCAGACATTGATCAAACTGACCTCGGGACTCCAGAATCATAATGGCTGTACCAGAAAAACTCCGGAACAGAAAAGTAACAAAAAATTTTTGAATTCCGTCTGATTTATTTTCAATTTTAGGGGAGGTATATGGCATTGGAAAAAACACTGACAATGCTCTCGGTCTTGGAACATGGACTGGAAATGACGATTCTGAGCATTGGAAGTAAGTTGCACAAAGGAGAAAATTGGGTTTTATAATGATAACTACGTGTCCATTCTCACTGTAAGGTTAACTAGTGGTGGCTTTGACCTTGAACTATTTTGGTAACTGATTACAGGTATTCGACCCTGGAACGAGTGCAATTCCCGCCTGAAGCAGGCAAAATTGCGGGCACTACAGCCAAATTAGGTTGCTCAATAGCATGGACTGAGGATGGCGATGCCTATGCCTGGGGATGTGACACTAGTGGACAGCTGGGCCTCGGATTGAAGGAGGACGATGATAGGGTTGGTGGTTGTGCCTTTTAGATTCTGATCTACTGTTGTTTTTAGTAATAATCCTTTCTGATAGGTCGTACCAAAACCACAAAAAATTACGTCTGCACATCTGGAAGGATACAAAATCATATCAGCGTCGATTTCTGACAACCACTCTTTATTTTTGGCTGCGAAGAAATGAATTCATACCATTCCATTCTTTTTTTACAATTCGCTGTGTGCAATGTTGTGTTCGTTTCTTGACTTGTTCTCAACTTGAGCTCTATGTTGTGATTTGAATTGTTCGTCACCCTGCCATGTTTTTCATTTTTATTCCTTTGTGTTTCTTTTTTTTTTCTTACTTTTTCTTACTTTTATATTTGTTAGTGTGTTTTGTGTAATTAAGTAATCCAGCACACCACCTCCTACATTCATCCCGGCGCATTTTCCCCACTTATTTTATTTTTTCTTTTGTAGCCGACTCACGTACCTCTTATGACCCATTCAATCATCGTTTTGTTTTTTTTTCTACAATATCGTAGCCTTTGTTTTTTATCCTTTTTGTTCTTGCTTTGCAATAGTGTAAGGCTGTTCATATTCTACTCATAAGTTAAGGCTAACAGTTCTGTGAATAACAAATAGTTGGCAATAATACAGTCTCTTCTACGATACTCCGTAAATTGATGTTAAGTCACTAACCTTAGTGTTAGAACAATGGCGTTAAGTTCGTTTTTTAATTAGAATCTCAATTGTTAAATTGTGTATTTTTCCAATAAAACTGTGTATTCTGTTGATTTTATTAATTAAATTTCTACTAAATATGTATAACTTGGATTTGATCGAAACTGTAAATCGATGTTGTAAAATAAGTTGTTGGCTTGGCGCAACAGGGCCACTACAAGCCGTGTTCCCAAGTACGGTACAAACGGTGGCGTTAAAAGGGTTACCAACCTTTTATTGGTGGGAGATGTAGTTCGAGTACCGTCAAGTGGTTTGAATTTTAATTCTTATGTAAAGGTTATTTCGAGGTAGGTGCATTTTGGGTTCGCGTTCTGCCAACTCTCTTAAGACATTCGTTGATGGTCGTTCTCATTTTGGTGAGGTTAATAGGCTTTGTAATTAATGAGATTGAATAACATTGCTACTAGAAGATAAAGCTGAATATTGAATTTGCTCCCATTTACATATTATTTACCTAGTTGAACAGCTACAAACTTGTATACTTGGGCAGCCAGTGTCTTTGAGTAGTGTATGCCAGCAGATCCTTCACATCGTCCTTGATGACGGTTTGCTTCGAACTTGGTGAGTGTCCTGTGAAAGCCTCATGCCGTGACTTGAGGAACATCTGCTGCTGCAAGTACAGCTGATTGACTTCAGTTGTAATGCCGTCCGCCTATAATGTAGTTGCTCGCTTCGGCTGACGTTTGCATATAAGTCGAGTCCACTCCGCACCAGTTTTAGTCTTTGTGAATGCTGGTTTAATTTCGAGGGCATCATTCACCTGTTGTGTGAGTATTTCGCAGTATTCTTGAGGTGGTTAATGTACCAGCCCACGNACTTGAGGAACATCTGCTGCTGCAAGTACAGCTGATTGACTTCAGTTGTAATGCCGTCCGCCTATAATGTAGTTGCTCGCTTCGGCTGACGTTTGCATATAAGTCGAGTCCACTCCGCACCAGTTTTAGTCCATCTGTTATCTGTTTTTCTTATATGACCAATTCATCTGTGTTTCGCTATTGATGTGTACTTTCCTGAATCCGGAAGGTGGGATAGGTTTCGGAAATCTGGTCAGCGCCTTCTGGCTAGACGTTGTGAATGCTGGTTTAATTTCGAGGGCATCATTCACCTGTTGTGTGAGTATTTCGCAGTATTCTTGAGGTGGTTAATGTACCAGCCCACGTCTGCTGTTTAACAGAGCGTTGGTACGACCGTAGAGTCAAACATGTGAGCGTAGATTTATAGGTACGTTAGTTGGTCGGTAACTTCTTTGACAAGCCTAGAAGGTTTAATGGATCACAACTATTCTCGGTACTGCATAGTTTAAGTGTACAGCTGTTTCGATATATACTTTCCACTGAAAAGCATTGGCAACAGAGGTTGTTTTTGCCATCGATTCTGCGGTATGGTACTGTCCCTAATGTAGACTTTCATTAACGCTCTTGCGACATTTTTTGTATATTTCTGAATGTAGGATAGAGGTTATAGTAACTATTGCCAGAATAGTTACTATTCATTCATCATATCATAGATCTGTGGCAACCATATTCGTGGCCTATAGCATCGCTTTGCGATCTTGCAGCATGTAAACGTTTTCACTTCGTTGAGAGAAGCTTTGGTTGTCGTAAACATCCTTTGTGAACCACACTCTTTTTATACAATCGAAACCTTTTGTGTGTTGCATCTGTTCCAAACCAGCACGGGTACGGTAACACAAAGAGCTTGAAGCTGTCCGGCAAACCGTCCTCAGTCATCTAATCACAGGGGAGCTGGAGACACAAGCTGATGGGTGTTTTCGGCAAAGGTTCTGGACCTGTGCCAAAGCACCGCCTCCTACAGAAGATATTTAAAGAGCCCTGTGCGTCAATACCGTACTCGCCTCTCTCTGATCATCTGTAATGCGCCTTGTAGTCAATCCAATGTAGCTCTGTACCTATAGCAAAGATACTAACCCGCATTACTCTCATTTATTGATCATGATGCAATATTGCCGTCTGTATTGTACCAATGTTTATATTTCGTTATTTTTGAATTATTATCGTCTTAAACGGTTTAATTACCCAAGTTTGAGATATTGCTCTGCGACAGGTACGAATAAATCCCGCGTGGCAACTTCTACGAAGTCGAGCATCCTACTCAAAACTAGTGATCATAAGGTGCCGAGGACTGACTCGAAGACCTAATTTCCAGTAATAGCTTCTATAGAGGTTTTCCCGATCAAGGCCTGAACAACATCTACGTTCTATGAGCTACCATTTGGTTTTTATATGTTAAAATAAATCGACGAGAAAGAAATGAGATGTATGGGTGTCTTACCGGCCAATCTCCGAAACCACTGTGACACCTGTAGGTGTCATTTGTAGGGAGAATGTTAATGAGCACATACAAGGATGCTACTTTAATATTTCACAATGGCTAACGTTTGGGTCGATTAAAGCTTATTCTGAACAGAAAACGCTTAAGACGATGTGCAATCCAGTTGGCCAAATACCTTCTTAACCCGAATAGAAAACTGCCAACCAAACTATTGATTATTAAATTATTGATCCTTCCCAACGGTTCACCGCCTCATCATGGCTGGGAGGTGTTCCTGGGTGTCGGACTGCGATGTACAGCGGGGGATTCATCCCCTGGCAGCGTCTCCCAAACTGAGGAGTCCGGCGTTTCCATCAGGAAACCTAACTAAGAGTAAACCAATAGCAGGATCCACCACCGTCCTGGTATCAAAGTCGCATGGTGGTAAATCTCCCTCTGATCCACAAGGACTGCAATTGCCCATGGTAATGAAGACCTGGGGCAGGCCTTGGCCACGCTGACCTCGGGACTCCAGGGAACATAATGGCTTGACCAGCAAATTTCCGAAAAACGGAGATTATGCCAGGCCCGCACAACCAGTGAGGACGGGCCATTCGAGTATCGAGTAAGTAATGGATCGCTTATCGTTGTCCATATCGTTTAGGGCTTTCTGCGAACAACCGTGGACAATGTACAAACCAATGAAAAGTTTGCTTCCAAATCCCACCACCAATGCATTGGAATCAATGCGTATGATTATTTTCTAGTGGTTTCTTCTACGTGGAATTTTGATGATGGTAAACCTATTGCATAGCCTGCATCCAATCCTTCATCCTGTACCGAAAATCGATGAAGTATTTGAATTGGTCGATCCAGCTCTCTGTACTTCATTTTTCGCCTTTGAATGTTACAATACTTTACTACTTTACGCATAAACGCTAACCCACCACTATCGATTAGTCTTAATAGTCTGCAATTGCACCAAGAACGTCACTGCTGGTTGCCATCAATGGTCTTTGGCCTCCAGTTCACAATTCAAGTATTACTTGTGGTTCTGTCTCCGTAAGTTTTCATCTGTTCGTCATCGTTATATTCTCCGTGTCTGCTTTCCGATTTTGACCACAATCCAGTAAATTGTTGGTTTTTCCACAAGTATGTGATGTCGGTTTATTCTTACTTTTTCAGATGAAACCAGCCATCCTTCTGCTGTTAATGATTTTCTCGGGTACGTTTTCTGTCTTTCAATTTTAGGAATGTGGTGTCAAATTTAGCCCAGCTTCACGAGAGTTTCTGTGCTTTTCGATTTTTGGCCTCTTTTTCCGTGCTAGGTATTCTACCTTTCGACGAACATCTAAGTGGTTGCATATCCGAGGCTCACAGGCTAGCTGATATCCGTTTACTTGGTGTTATATCAGTACATAGGGTGATCTGGGTTGTATTAGATGTCCAGTGTTTTCAGCAGTGTTGGGATCAGAGTTGCAGTTTGTTTCTCTTCCACAGTCAGTGAGATTGACTACAACATCTGTCGCCTCTGGGCTTCGAACTAGCCACTTGCAGGGCCTTAATGCCAATCTACTTGGCCTTACAGCGAAACCAGTACCTGGTTGGTAGTCTTATTTTGTTTTCCTATTGATGTGTTTCATAAAAGCCATGTTAAAGTTCGATTAACGCACTTATAAATTCAACTAGCGCGGTCACAGTTCGTTTGATGTGAACTGTTCTTCTAGAGTATTCTGAATTATCTTCGTTTATCTGGAGCTAAACACCATTAATAAGTGAGGAAGTTGGCGGCTACAGGAACTTTTGTGTTTTAGTTTTGTGCTTACACGGGGTTGCTGATGATGTTTATTGGGCTAACGTTTCAACGAATTCTTCTTCATCAGAGCCGATGATCCAAGGACTTCCCTTTGTGCTACAAAAACTTTTCTTCTTTGAAATCGTGCATTCTTTCAGGGTTTGAAGTGAGCAGCGATTTATTCGAACGCCCAATGGCTATTGCTATTGTGTTCGTTGAAGGAGTTGACTCCTTGAAGAACATGGGATCAAAAAACGTATTTCCACTCGAAAACGTGAGTTTCTTGCCAGGTTTTTCGAGAGTATGGGAAACCGCATATCTAAAATCTATCCATTCCCTTTTCTATTATGTGGTATATGACTGTGACGTTTCCTTCAATTCATTCTATATTTTGATAAACGTTTTCTGATGGGAGAATGGAATATAAAAACATAGTATTTAGAATAAACACTTGACGATAAACAAACTAGATTAAATTTAACAACAATGATGCTGAGATATTTTTAAAACTCTGGACCACAGGTGTCTGCGGTGGTGATCGAACCCACACGCTATTACCCTTTATGGCGGCTAGTAAGTTCACCACTACACCATGCGTGTCCTTCGTTTCGTCTTTCTCTCAGATAGTTTCATATTGAACTGTGCCATATTGTCTAATAATGACCAAGTTGGGTTTTTTCTTCCTTTGCTCAATTAAAGTGATGGAACTATTTGAAGTGTTCGGATACACAATATCTGTTGGTATTGTTCATTCAATTTATCAAGATTCTTTGTTTTATGTTCGTATTACAACCCCTTGAATATGTCTGGATGAATAAGTGGTATTTTTATAGGATGGATTTGATAGAGCGACTTTTGACGAGGAATTGGCGCGTTCTTTTGGTTCCGATCGCAAAACTGTTACAGTTACTAGTAAGGGTATCAGTGGATCAATTACTGCTCTTAACGCTTCCGAACAAGAGGTTTTTCTGCTTTGCTTTTCATTGCTTCTGAAGTTTTCAATTGACTTTTGAGAACCATTCCGCCGTTTTCAGTTCGACGATAATATAAAGACGAAGTTGCCAGTTTTGCGAGAGGAACTTCTACACATCTATCGCTTGGCCGCTGGCATCTTAGTTCGTGACGCAAAGTTCGAAGAACAGAATGCGCCTGATGTGTATTATATAGCGACTAGTGGTCTACTACCAAGTAAAGTAACAGAAGATCGTGAGACTGGAATAGACGACATACGAAAAGCCATACGAGTTGTACGTTGTTTTTGATGTTTCATATTTTAGTTATGACATTGTGGGAGCCTAAAATTGCTTCGGAAAATCTAATCAATCTAGAGGATATCGTTTTCATGATTATAACCACAATGGTGCTGAGATATTTGCAAAACTCCTGACCGCAGGTGTCTGCGGTGGGAAACGAACGCGCTGTTACCTTTTCCAGGGGCTAACGCGTTCACCACCAGACCATACGTGTCCTTCGTTTCGCTTTTGCATAATCTTTAGCTTTTAGCTTAGTACCTCTTGTTCATTGCAGTTTTCTGAAACGTTGTCAACCGTCTATAGAAGCCGTGCTATTGTTGAAGTGTTAACCATCTCCAGTGACATCAAATCAGTTGGCAGTCTACATGAACAAACTGTTGTTCGAAGAAAGAGGGTAAGATCAGCATCCTCTCCATTGAATCATATACGAATGTGGCTTTTACGAGATGCTTAATGGGCGTTTGTGCTTCCTACTCTCTGAATATTTGGTCGCTTTAGGCTACTGATGCTTCTGAAACGGATATAAATTTAAAGACTTGGCGTGAACTTCTCAACGTCTATGTCTTTGTTGGAACTGACTATCCTGCAATTTTTGCTATTTTTGCTGGACTAACGATCACATTGGCACTGGTTAGTGAACCTTTACGCAATAAACCTTAGTTCGAGTATTCTTTCCGGATTTGTTTATTGCTTCATTGAAGTTTCGTTACAATAACTATAAAGGATAAATTAAAAGGACAAAGCTATCGGCGTTTATCAATATCTGAGGAAGGCAACGTGCATTAGAATTCATTAAGCATCGTTGGAAGTGATTGAATACATATCTGGCCTTTACAGCGACTCGCGGTGGCCTACCGATGTTTCGAGCCAGCGCTGGTATCATCCCAGACAAGTCGTACCAATTTGTCCACCCTAGAGGGATGGAAGGCTTGGTGGGCCTGGGGCTCGATAATCAATACCATCTGTATTGCAGAGCGCCTTCGACCACTGCGCTACACCCGCTCTTTTTAATATACAAGTATAACGTTGTAATATATTAATAACTGTAACGTTACAAATTTTTCGTAGTAACTTCTATTTCAGGCCGTTCTATACACTGTTGTTGGAATGATGAGTATGGATCCGAGTAAGGACTCAATCATTTATCGAATGACAACCACACGTATGAAGAAGGCTTAAAACCTGAACTTGCGGGTCATATTGTTATTGAACTTGCTTCAGCTTACTTAAATTTCCAGTGTATTTGTGTTCACTGGCATATTATTATAGACAACCGAGTCTATGACTGTAATTATACCACACTGTGGAAATGAATGTTTCCAATTGAAATTTTGTAAAAAGTACAATAGGCAAGCATGCCCCACATAGGTAAACATCTCAGCACTGGCACTATTTAATGACTTAGGATTCACAGTACAGTGAGACGTGAAGGACACTTTAAACTTAGAAACAAATCGTAATATTCTTTGTAAGTCTGTTAGCCTGCCTATGGTGTCGTGTTTCCTAGTCGATTGTGTACATTGGTTGTGACTCACTACAAAACTGTGAAGAGTAAACTGTGGGTCTGCTTGAGTTGGATGTATGTTGATAAATCTGAACGCTCGTGTTGACTGGTATTTGTTCCCTAATAAGAATATGTGCGATTTTAGAAATGATCCTTCAAGTTGTAATAGTCAGTATACGTACAGATGATCCTGATTGCTGTACTTTGTTTGAAATTTTTGGGGGAATTCTTCGTATTTTTGTTGAGCAAACGCGAGGTGTTATTATTCTTCATTCACAAATAAGCTGTCGTTTTGGCGGATTTCGCCTACTTCAGAGCCGCTTTCTATGAGGTTTCCACTAAGTATGTCGCGTGAAGACCAACCGCACAGAAATCACATGGAAGCATAATGTGCCTCACATTATGCATTATGTTTCTCCACATTCTTCTGCCTTTTGTCGTACGTCGAGCACCAATGAAGCTGAATAAGCGCGATTTCGGCTCCAGCAAGACACAATGGTGATGTTGGTTGCCCCATTGATGTCGGTTGTTGCAGCTCTTATGCTTGAAATTCTTGGAATGTTTAGTTTTCAAATAATCTAAAATCGAAACAACACCTTGTAAAATTTGTTTAGCACTAGGTTGTTAAGGGAAAGCTTCTTCCATAAGTATATTAAATGCTGGTGCTGTCAACCATTGTTTTTTAGGACCCGCGTGGTTTGGTAGTGAACGCGTTAGCCTCCGGAAACTTGCGGGTCATATTGTTATTGAACTTGCTTCAGCATACTTAAATTTCCAGTGTATTTGTGTTCACTGGCATACTTCATTGGCTGTTCGTACCCCACCGCACACATCTGCGGTCCCTGTTTACGGTTGAAAGAACAGTCAAAAGTGATAAAGGATAAACAATAAAGCTCTCGGCGTTGATCAATTGCTAACGAATGCACCATACATTCGACTTCATCAACCATCGTTAGAGGTTGCTAAATGCATATCTACCCTATACAATGATGTGCAGTGGCATACCGATGTATCGACTCAGTACTGATGCCCTCTCGACAGATCTGATAGCAATTTACCGATCCTGTAGGCATGGAAGATATTGTTTTTTTAATTCTAGAGGCATTCTGGATTAATTCCAAGAATCCAAAAATGGACCGCAGGGAGGAATGCCTCGTTATCACGCGTGATATTGGACAGTATATAAACCTGTTATTCTGATGGGAGGGGCACATTACGCTTCCATGTGGATTCTGTGCCGTCGGTCTTCATGCGACATACTCAGTGGAAGACTCGTAGAAAGCGGCGAGTGTGCAGAGCTATGCTAAATGTGATTGAAATCTTGGTTTAGCGTTTTCTCTGTTTGGTTATGGAGGTGTTTGACCGTGTGGATTGCAGTCAACTTGACCTTTCCAGGCTCTGAGGAAGGCGAAATTCGCCGAAACGTCAGCCTGTGAGTAAATAAAGAAATAAAATAGCACCTCGTGTTTGCTGAATAGAAGTAGAAAGATTGTTTTTTTAATTATCTCAAAGACTCAAGACTCAAAATCACAAATTGTGCGAATTCCACCATTTCTCTTATTCAATTCCTCATCTGACATCCATGAGCCACGAAGGTCTTCAGGTTGTCTTGGCCATAGAGAGTCGTCACCCTTTCTTGATGGGAGGAAGCATCGTAGACAAGTCTGATACCTACTTTAGAGGTATGGGTGCCCTGACTAGCTTTGTGCAGATTCGAGCTAAGCCACTGCGCCTATTGAACGCCAGCTCTACCATAATGTTCCCTACGCCCACTTAGGTATCATAACAGATAGAGACATTTTGGAACGTGAGAAATTAAATCTTGTTCTGGCAAATATTAGAATATTCTGACTACATGGACGAGCTAGATTCTCTCGTTATTAGGAAAAGATCATCTTGTCATTTGTGAAAGAACCATATTTAAACTTACGGATTTTGTACGTTATGCGACTCAATCAAAGTTTAAATCATCCTACTATGCCGCATAAAACGCTAAGTCGAGACACACGTGAAGCTCATTTGAGTCGGGACAGCAAAGGATTTAGGGTAAATGATAAAAGATAAAGCTTTTACCGTTGATCAATGCCTTAGAAATGCTCCATTTATCAAACATCGAAGAGGTGAATGAATTCATATTTGTTTTATACAGTAGGTTACACTGGCTTGTCGACCTATCAAGTCAGTGTTTTATCATTCTGGATAATCTGGTGCCAACTTATCGACTCAGGACCTATGAAGGATTTGGTACGGTATCGGACCAAGGACCACCCAGATAATACAGAGTTCCTTAACGGGGCTACACGTATCCGAGGATTGGCGTGTCTACTCAGCGCCGTGACAGAGTACAAAAACGGCGTGTGAATTGTTTTGCTTCCATTGAAAACTATTCTAAAATATGATCTGGAGCATTTTATATGGTTTTCTAACTATTTATGAGCTAACTGAACTTGTCGTTTCGCGAACACACACGACGCCTCTCATTCTTAGGAAACAGATCATAGAAAGTCCCAGCAAGAATATAAAGCTTGCTTGTCACTTCTACAAATACCAAATCCATTATGTGAATCTGAAACGGAACCCAAATATGGTTTTGTTGTAATCGTCTTAGATGAGGGCAGGTAGCACACCGGTAGTGATGCTTCCGAGCTCTAGCACGGTAGTGGCTGGACTCAACACAGGGCTCATCAAGCCTCTCATTTCCCCTAGGTCGGGAAGTTGACACCATACTCATACGGAAAAAGTTCACTGTCTGCAGTCCCAAAGGGAACACTCTGGTTCGCCTGTACTGAGAGTCCAATGGGAATAGACTTGTCTTGCACTCAAAGACGTTTCATGAAGAAGAGGAAGATCCTCAGGCAGTTTCCGCACCCACACGCAGAAAGTTAAAAGACCCTCGTGGACAACGAATAAGAGGAAACGAATCGAATGTAAGAAGTATTGGGTCAGCAAACTAGATGTGGTGATGAGTGTAAGGAAAAATTGGTGTTAGGTTGCATTAAATACGTAAGAGCTTCATCTTTGATTTCTCAATATATATCCTGTAGCTCTTCATGTAGAGATGGTTCACTGCAACGTAAATACAGAAGAGAAAGCAGAAAAGAATCTATCAGATATTAGATGATATGCTTTTATATATACATATATATATATATATATATATATATGTAACTGTGTGTGAGTTTATGTGAGGTCCTTGAGGGACAGCTGTCGTCCTTACCCACTCACATGTTGAATGCAGGTAGAGCTTTTCTAGAATCTCAACATAGATTTACTAGGTCGTACTCAGTCTTTCTTTGCTGTGCGCAATTGCCGATTTTGAAGCAATCTTGTCGATTCTATAAGTAAATAATGACGGCGCTTATTCAAAACTCAGTTCTCCCGTGTATTGAGCGACCTCTTGATTGTCAAGTGGTTCTCTAAAGAGTTTTACGCGCCATGACTTGGCCACATAAGTGGTGTCGTAAAATGCTTAAGTAATGACAGCTTCATATTTTAAACCATGACATTTCAGGTCATAGAGGGCTTTATAGATGTAAATTTAAACACGTTCTTAAATAACAGGAATACACAGACGTTTCTCTTACAAGAATGGCTTTTCACTTCCACCATGATGAAATTCTAGTGTTCTGAAGCTCACGAAAAATCCATTTTTCACTTCGCCTTGGAAACTTTGTCACATATGGAAAATTTTGTTGGGAACTGTAGCTTTAAAAGAATTTAAGGGTGGAAGAGTAGAAATTGTATGTACCCTGGGGGCATAGAGCTAATTTTCTTGTAAAATGTTCTATAAGGTTCAAAACTCCGCAAAGAGTATACAGAAACAGAAGCTGATTTTTGGACAATTATCGAAAATTTCCCCGCCAATAGAGTATTTAATAAATCGGAAGTTC